GCGTAAAGATTTATAAGTGCTATTTCGAGCCTACCTAACTTTTGCAGCACTGACTTACTTTAGTTTTAGTTTAGTTCATTTATTATGCACCCCATATACCTATCTTATGGGCGGTAGTGGAAAGGGTTACAGAGGCACATAATGGGCTCAGGGACTGAACCCCCACAATTCATTTAGCTAAGCAACTTACAATCTTGATGAGCTAGTTACAAAATTCAGTATAAGTCGTCACATTATCAATGGGTTCTCGAAGTACTTTGCTTGTAATTTGAGCTGCAGAATGCGTGCATATATAGATATTAATTACACGCAAAGCGGTTCATATTATTAAGTACATCACAAAGTCAAGCAAGGTAAAATACAGGACTCACCTTCTGGCTTCAAACAGGATACTGCACATTAGCTTTACAAGGATCTAATTGTGGCGGTCCGTAATCCAGGGGAACTGTTATTAATTCATTTTATCATATATATATATATATATATATATATATATATATATATATATATATATATATATATATATATATATATATATATATATATATATATATCAAATCAAATCAAATCAAATGTTTATTTAGGTAAGGTACATACATACAAGAGATTTTACAAAGAGTGATGGAATTATAGATAGGGCTAGTACATACAATGCCTAAAGCCACTATTACGAAAGCGTTTCGGGTATCTATATATATATATATATATATATATATATATATATATATATATATATATATATATATATATATATATATATATATATATATATATATATATATATATATATATATAGAGAGAGAGAGAGAGAGAGAGAGAGAGAGAGAGAGAGAGAGAGAGAGAGAGAGAGAGAGAGAGAGAGAGAGAGAGAGAGAGAGAGAGAGAGAGAGAGAGAGAGTGAGAGAGAGTGAGAGAGAGTGAGAGAGAGTGAGAGAGAGTGAGAGAGTGAGAGAGAGAGAGAGAGAGAGAGAGAGAGAGAGAGAGAGAGAGAGAGAGAGAGAGAGAGAGAGAGAGAGAGAGAGATGGAAATGCCTGTTTGAGGTTGGAGGTCAGATGCAGAAAAAGATGGGGAGGGTATAGGGGAGAAGGGGGGGGGGAAATGCGGGGAGAGGAGGGGAAAGAAGGGGGGTTGGGCTGAGGGGAAAGGGGGGATGTGGGGAAGAAAAGGGGTGGAAGATAAAGATAAGACTATCTTGGGCACTATCAGGTGTCAATTCTAATGAGCTAATGAACAATATGTAACTTATTATTTTGAGCTTATCGGTTTAACTAGCATTTGAATCTCCATATAAACTCCAGTACTCAGAATTAATTCCCAGCGATGGTGGTATAGTGGTGAGCATAGCTGCCTTCCAAGCAGTTGACCCGGGTTCGATTCCCGGCCATCGCAGTCGTTATTTTGATTCATTTAGATTTATTTCTAGAGGGGTAAATGGCAAGCTATTTAAAAAATATTTATTAAAACGTATTTTTTTTAATTATAATAATATATATTAATTAACATGCCTGTAAATTGATTTGTATGACAACTGCATTATATAAATTACTTTATATATGCTAATACCATAATTCTAATTTACACGTTAATTTGTCATATTATTATTTCTTGCTTTACATAATGTATTGAAAGAGCTAGTGCATGAAGTCATAGGAAATCATACTTTTCAAAATAAACCTTAATTATTTCTAATCATCATAGGAAATCATACTTTTCAAAATAAACATTAATTATTTCTAATCATCATACGAAATCATAGTTTTCAAAGGAAACATTAATTATTTCTAATCACTATACTAATTGAACAACATACTAACAGTACCGCGAAGTTTCTCCCAATGTGCTTAAATTTATTAACTTCTTAAATTCACTTCTTCTTAGTGCTTATTTTGTATGTACACATTTATCATCTCAAGCTGGAGTTAACAAGTAAAAAGCGACCGTGACAGGACTCGAACCTGCAATCTTCGGATCCGAAGTCCGACGCCTTATCCATTAGGCCACACGGTCGGTGGGTTGTACGACTTGCGTTATTTTTTACATTCTAGATAAATTTATACATTTCTAGATAAATTTATACATTCTAGCTAAATTTACACTAGTTACTATGGTCAATTATGAGTTTTTTCAGAGTTTGTACTTGAAAAAATTGAATATGAATTAAATAATGTTATAAGCACTAACCAATTTACCCAAGAAACAGTAGTGTTTGGATTCATCAGAGCTGGAGCACCGTCGGTTGGACTCCAGCTCATGGACTTGAGCTGGAGTCCATGCCTAATTAAACACAAGATAAAGTTAGAGAAGATTCTCAGAGGTATGCCACCAGACTAGTCCCGGAACTGAGAGGTATGAGCTACGAGGGAAGGCTAAGCGAGCTGAACCTCACGTCTCTGGAAAACAGGAGAGTAAGGGGAGACATGATAACCACCTACAAAATTCTCAGGGGAATTGCTAACTATTGGTAGTAACTAAGTGATTGTAACCTATCCACCGCTGCCCACTGGATGGGGGGCGGGGGTGCAGGACAAACATATCAATTGTGACACCAGCTCTCCACATATGTCAGTTTTTGCTTAATTTAGAAACTGTACTTGTGGTCGATCTCGAACCCATTGATGATGTGACGACTTATACTGAATTTTGTAACTAGCTCATCAAGATTGTAACTTGCTTAGCTAAATGAACTGTGGGGTCACTCCCTGAGCCCATTATGTGCCTCATAACCCTTTCCACTACCGCCCCAAGATGGGTATGGGGTGCATAATAAATGAACTAAACTAATTGACAGGGTGGACAAAGACAAACTCTTTAGCACGGGTGGAACACGAACATGGGGGACACAGGTGGACACTTAGTACCCAGATGAGCCATAGAGACATTAGAATTTTTTCAGTGTCAGAGCAGTTAACAAATGGAATGCATTAAGCAGTTTTTTATTATTATTATTTTCTACCACAGACGTGGCCACACATTTAGAAAATTATTATTTTCTACCACAGACGTTTGACGAGCAACAGCGAAATAATTGATAGATACAATGACAATAGAAGATTAGACATCAGTGAAAGTAACACGTGATGAACAATGTGACAATGTCAGACCACGAAGGAAGGATTAAAGACAGGAATTTCTTTAAGCACTTTCGTATTTAATAATACATCTTCAGAAGGAAGATGTATTATTAAATACAAAAGTTCTTGAGGAAATTCCTGTAATCTTTCCTTCGTGGTCTGTCACTGTCATAATATGCTATATACAGTATCTAACTTCAGAAAGAAGCGCGTTGCATTCCAGTCTGAAGCGACAAGAAATGAGGATAAAGAATGTGATAATTGAACTATTATACTATCATTAAGGTAAATTACAATGACGTCACTTCCCCTATTTACAATAGCCAGAGAGCCGGCAGTATATTTAGATATTTAGTGTAATGTTTTTAGTCTGTAGAGTGTGTTAAAAAACTTGTATTGAAGTTTCCCAAGATCTCCCCTCACCTGGATGCATCTCCCACGAGTAGCTGACATTCCCTGGGGTATCTGGTAGGATATATATACCAACGTATAACAAAATTAGAAAGTAAAAATCGTCACTATTGAGTTGGACAAACCGGTAAACTATTTTCTACTTGTGTTGCAAAGACAAACTAAACTAACCTAACCTTCCTAGGCCTAATATAGTACATATGTGTGCTATACTAGGCCTAGGAATATTTAAGTTTGTTATTTAGCTTCATTTTTTCAGACAATAAAGTGAATAGTGCAAAGTTCTAATTGCTTAGAACGGCAATCTGTGTACCATGGTTGCATAGTTACAACTATTATCTAAACAGAAGAATGGGTTGGAATATGTAGTCAAGGACTAAAGGGTATAAACTGTATTTATATATACCTCGAAGGTAATTCTTCTTATTAATTGACGCTTGGGTACGTTTGCTTTCACTTGATGTGGCTGTTCACCCGGCACTAAATATGGGTACCCGTGAATTACAGGCAACTCCAGTTACAGCCCCGCTCCTGTGCCGGGTAAGTCCACTACGGGCTCACCATAGCCCGTGCTACTTGCCCCGCTCCTGTGCCAGGTAAGTCCACTACGGGCTCACCATAGCCTGTGCTACTTGCCCCGCTCCTGTGCCAGGTAAGTCCACTACGGGCTCACCATAGCCCGTGCTACTTGCCCCGCTCCTGTGCCAGGTAAGTCCACTACGGGCTCACCATAGCCTGTGCTACTTGCCCCGCTCCTGTGCCAGGTAAGTCCACTACGGGCTCACCATAGCCCGTGCTACTTGGAACTTTTTGTTCCCAGTAGCTGAATCTATAACAACAACAACAACAACATACAGGCAACTGTTTTGAGTTGCATCCTGGGAAAGGTCATCAGTTGGCCAGTGGGGGCAGGGAATGCCCCCTATTATATATATATATAGCTATAATAATATATAGCTTCAACAGTGCCTATATAGGAAGCCTATATATAGGCTTCCTTTTCCTAATGTTATAATTTTAATCTGTTTTCTTTCTCTTTCTTTTGATTTCTGGTTCCTTGTTTCTTTCTCTATTTCTCTGTTTATCGTTATCTTTTTCTCTTGCTGCATAATTTTTCTTAAGTATGACTTAGAGATATCAAGATTAACAAGCCGCCGGCTTCCTGTCCTCGTCGAGATCACTAAAATTAGTGGCCCTCAGGTAAATCAGGTAAATATCTTACCTATATGTCAGTAATTTCAATCCAATATATATATATATATGTATGTAGTTATTTATTTATTGAAAATTTTAGGCTAATTATTGCACAATTAAATTGGAAATTTGGCTTCGTTGGCAGGGCAAAGAGAACAAATGAGAAACTAACATATAATTGTATGTAGAAATAAAACGTGCGTCAAATTGACTGGAAAGTGTGAATATAAGAGAGGAGAAAATAGTTGTGATTGATAAAATAGTGAGGTTTAGAAGGGTTTAATATATTTGATGTGAGGGGTACGATAACTGCTCGCTTGGCTGAGGGTGTCTGAGGGACTCGGCTGACTTAGGCACAGGGAGCACGGCAGGTGGGTGGCTGCCGCTCTTGTTTGACACCATTTGTCAGCCTTAATGGCTTCAACACCTCTAGAAACTGGCATGGCCTGTCGCTCAATGTATCAGTTATGTGTGGGGGGAAGAGTGTAGGGCGGTGGGTGTTAGTAGTTGTGTGTGAGAGAGGGGGAGGAATGTACGGTATGTCATTCATGTGTATACAGCTGATGATGACAACAATGTGATGCTGGGGCTTCTGTTTTGTTACTTTTGGCGGTTCTGCGCGCGTAATTTCCTGTGGTGATGAGCTGGTTGGGTTCTGTGGTGTGTTGGGCGTGCGTGTGTGTGTGGTGCTGTGTGAGTGCTTTAAGTTCTTTCATTAGGAAGTGATGTAGAGAAAGTTTTTTTTTTTTAGGGGGGAGTGGCAGAGAGCAGATGCCGCGAGGTAGTTTAGCGGTTTAAATGACAAGCCGCGGTCATCTTGAGTTATGGGAGTAATGTTTTCAGTAATGGGGGCAGTTTTCATGTAGATTTAGAACTTGCCATTCTGATAACTGGTTGGTACAGCATTACTCATGATTTGAGCAGTCACTGTGGTGTAGTGGTTAAGACACTAACCTGGTGTTTTGTGAGCGTTTTGTCGTGGGTTCGTATCCTGGCCGGGGAGGATTGACTGGGTATCAGTCCTTAACTGTAGGCTCTGTTTACCCAGCAGTAAAATGGGTACCTAGTTGTTAAACGATTTGGCGGGTCGTATTCCGGGGAACGTAGGATTAAGGATTTGCCCGAAATGCTATGTGTGCTACTGGCTGTACAAGAATGTAAGAACTCTTGTATATTTCTATAGATAATAATTAAGCTGATCTTTGAAGTTGACAGGCATTAAGGAAATGTTAATGTTACACATTCATTTTTACAGAAAGATTTGGTAAATTGCTAATGGTGTGTGTGTGTTTTCAACGAATGTTGTATTTTATATACTTTTGTAAAAGACAGGCACCTTGTTACGCTTAATTAACAAGATTTCTATAGTCAGGGTCAAGCCAATCCACACAACCAATGGATAATTAGCCAGACTCAACTGTGCTACCTGGTTGATACCTGGTTCATGGGGTTCTGGGAGTTGTTCTACTCCCCAAGCCCGGCCCGAGGCCAGGCTTGACTTGTGAGAGTATGGTCCACCAGGCTGTTGCTTGATGCTGAAACCAACTAAATAATAAGCTTAACAGGCTTTTCTCCCCCCCCCCCCCCCCCCTCCAACCCTGAACAATAAAAATCTGTATTCATTAGTTATGCTAGAGATTTTTAGACATCCGATATGGATGACTCGGCAGCAAGTTCCTAATCCATAATTTCAGTTTTGGTGAGTATTGTATTGGACTTCTTTCAAAGTGCTGCACGCTTTCTAAGATAAGCTAATCTAATGATGACATTAATTTTAACTTGTTCTTGTTTAAACCACTTGGATTTTCTGGAGAAGATTAATTTATTAAGGTAGGGGTTAGTTTTGGTAAGGATGGGTAAAGAAGGATATTAAATGCTATGCAGTCCCCATGGCGTAGTGGTAAGATGCTCACCTGGTGTTTCACAAGTTCTTTGTCCTGGGTTCGTATCCTGGCTGGGCAGGATTTACTGGGTATAAATCCTTAACTGCAGCCTCTGTTTAACCCATCAGTGAAATGGGTACCTGGTGGTTAAACGATTTGGCGGGATCGTCTTCCGGGTAACGTAGGATTACGGACCTGCCCGAAACACTATGCGTGCTAGTGGCTGTACAAGAATGTAAGAACTCTTGTACTGTATGTATATAAATAAAATAATATCAAAACTATCATATCTCACAAGTTACCGTGATGGTTCATGATATCTTTTATATATCACCCTAACAATATTTGCATTATGAATCGTCCTGCTTCCAACTTTCTCCAAACCTAAACCTCAATAGAAATATGACCATTAAAGTGGTTGGCCACTATTCCTTTCATCAGTATTGTCCTAAATCATTACCCTCCTATCCCTTCTAAATGCTATCTATATATAATTGCAATGACTTTGTGCTCTTTCCTAATAATTGCTTTACCAGGAATATTGTTACTTTATTCTTTATTTAAATAATGCTGCACCCTATTGGCCAGTATTCAGGCAGCATAGTACTCATGAGATTACAGTCCTTACTTAGTGTTTAGTTAAAGTAACTGTCAGGAGAAAGGACTAAGCCATTATGACTATAACACTCGGAAGGGATAAAGATTTGGGATAGGATGGAAGAAATGAAATTTGTGCAATCACTTGGACATGCCAGAGGTGAACGCCAACCTTCAAGAAGTGAAACCATTGCTCTACCATCCAGTCCAAGTGGACTAGACATTTAAAGTGTAGACAATTGCTACACAATATTCAAATTGTCTTGGAATTGATTAACAACTGCTATTTTACAGTTATATAATTTGAACTTTTAAAATATTGTACTGTTCTTTGATGGATAAACTCGACTGAGTTCCAATTCTAGTAACTGTATTGTGCAATTCATTGGCATTGCATGTGCATTCAGTTTAATTATTAATGTAATTTTTTTTTCACTTGCAGGTTACAAGATGAAGTGAAGTGGTGATGCTTCACCTTGCCCTTGTAACTACAGTCAGTAGATTGTAGTTAACACAGTGCTTTTTTTTTTACAAGTAAAGTTTTCAAGACTTAGTGACTTTTTTTTTTATAAATTTGTGAATAAAGTGAGGTGGTGTTAAAAACTGGAACAAGTAACATAAAAAATTAGTGCTTTTTTGACCCATTTCCTTAGAAATAAGTGCTTATTGTACCTGATTTACATAAACCAGACATAACCGAGGTGTGCAACTACAGCACACTACCATATTAAAGGCCGTAGTTTAGAAAAGTACACGAGTATGGCCGAGTTAACCCCCGAACAAAAACAGCTCCGTGACCAAGTGACGGACTGCATAAAGTCGGTTCTCACTGCTTTAGGTGGAGAAACACACATGGATAAACTTGCAGGTAGGTTTTATGTCATTTGTATTGTAAGAGTAGGTTAATTACACGCAGAAATCACAACAGCGTGATGCATCTAATGAACGTCGTAGCTCGGTTGATTTAAGGCAGCGTCTGGGATGCTCCCGGACGAAGGTTCGAATCCTCGTCACGGCCCTTGTGGGTTTGTTCAGTAAGGTTAATTTGATGTACTGTCCATGCTTGGTAATCTGGATCATATAGTGGTCCCCATCCCTCCCTACGAGTTAACCAGAAATCCGAATTAGATTAATTTTTACTGAAAGTCCAAAAATTAACATTCAGAATTTTTGGCATCACGACCAACAATTTGTATTTTTACATGGAATAAATATAAATTTCCGTAGTTTAGGGAGGATCATTGTTCGAACATCATCAGAGTTGTGTAAACCATTTTTCATTCATAATCAGTGTTTGGCTGGTGCATGTAATGGACTTTTATGAGGATGGGCTGGTACTTCATGAAGTGCTCAATACTGCTCATTTACCAAACCAAACCCAATTTAACTTCGCAAAACAAAACACTGCTTTGCCAAGCTCCAAAAAAAAGTTTGAGCTTGGCAAGGTCGGTTTTGACTGCCAGCTGCTGTGCCTTCAATGGGTGAAGGCCTTTGGCTTGCTGGTGAGGCATTACCCCTCATGCTTACCAGTAGTTATGCATTTCATGTACTGTACCGGTAATTTCAGGCTTTCATCTTGCAGGAATTGTAGTTGGCTGATTTGTCTTAGTTAAATACTCAAACTCAAATTTATTTGGATTTCTAATTCCATACATCCCATTAACTTTAATCTCCATTTGCATTAGAAAGCCCCAAAAAAAGGAAAAACAAACTTTGTGAATTCAGCTGAAATACTTGTTCGGGTTACTGGGATCTGAATTACCGAGCTTTTACAATACAGTACAGTATCTGTATTATCCAAGCAAATTTTGTTTATTTTTTTATTTTGTGACGGGTTGTGGTATTGCAGCAATACTGAACCAAGATGATATGGCTCTCCCTCACATAAATAAAAAATGCTACTATTGGCCCTTGCAGTGTGTAAGTGGCAGGTGGAAACAAATGAAAATCAAATAAATAATTAAAACAATTTATGGAAATATTAATGAACAAAAATGGCACTTGAAACCTGAAAACACTTGATCATGTAATGCAGAGTTGAGCAAGATAATATGAAAATTAATGCAAAAATAAACTAAGAAATTCAACGAATACAAACCATGAAGATATACTGGTGTACTGAAGACAGCTACCATACCACCATGGCATCAGACACATGGCGTTGGCTGAAGGCGTACGACAGGTGAGAGAGACCAAGGTGATCCAAGAGCACTAAGAGAGAGACTGTCTCCCCAGGGAGGTGGTGCCCTTTATATAGTCTGGGGGTGATGATTTATCTGGTGTCAATGCAAGGGGGACATCTGGTCAACTAGCAAACTGGTTGTTTGTGGCTGGCGGTGCCTTTGTGTTGAGCTGCACCACTGCCAGTTGAAGGCGGCTACCTGCTTGTTTGTGAAGGCAAACTACTGGTTAGCAGAGGCGCCCGGCTTGCCTCTGAGTCGTACCAGGCCGTGCCAGGCCCTGGGGGGTACAGAGAGGTGGAGAGGTGGCAGGACTAGTGACTCATCTGGGCTGGTGTAAAGATAAACTTCCAGTACAGAGGCATTGAAGGTGAGGGGAAAAAGCAGTTCCACAGCTATGCAGGGGATTCACATGACAATTTTTTTATAACAAGCTAGGCATACACAGCAATGTGCTGCTACCCTATTCTATATAAGAGATTACAGTGTAAATAAAAAACTACCTATAAGTTTAACTAATATCCCCATCTCGCAGGATGGTTAGTCATACAGTGGTGCCTCGGTTAACGAATTTAATCCATTCCGACACCGAGCTTGTCATGTGACACACTCATCTTGCAAAACAACAACACTGTCATCGGAGGCGTCCAAGAACCAACGGGAACACTAGGCAGCACCACATGGTTTTCTCGTTAACCGAGTGGAAGCTTGTTATTCAAGATAAATTTCCTGCGAGTGGCTCGCTCGTTACCCGAAATGCTCGTAGATTGGGCTGCTCGGCACCTGAGGTTCCTCTGTACGTGGAATCGGGGAAGAGAACATGAAATGTAAGGCTGATCTATTAACCTCCACTAGCAAAATCTGGGTACAGCACAAGAATATCTTCTAATATTCATGTGTAATGTGTATAAAGTAATTTCAGAGCCCAAAGTACTTCATACCATTCAGTATGAGAGCACTGGTAACAGGGCAATCAGATATAGTGTTGGAGAGTATGTCCCAGCTCTTGTTCACATAATTTACAGTTGGAACGTTCACCATTGGGAGATTCATTACCTGTAGCCACCTCCCATAGGTATCAATTTGCCAGCCTAATTCTGGCAATTGCAATGTTGCAGTCTAGTAGATGCCCGTACATATACTCAATTCTAAACATGGCATAGCTCTTAATACTCGTGCTTTCTGGCCTTTGAGTGTTGGTAACGGCTCGTCATCCCTAATTTCCTGAAATATTGCAGCTTTTACAGCAGAGATTGGAATGCCCATATTCCACTCAATTTCAGGCTTATCACATGCAGTTTTAGCTGCCTTGTCTGTGCTATCATGCTGGACAACACCTATGTGAGATGATAGCCATTCAAATGAGACTCTGAAACTCTTAATCTGTGCTTTAATAATGTTTATAATGGATGTTATAACATCATAATTTCATTATACTATACAGGACTCGACCACAATGTTTTTATTTTTTTTTTATTTTGGAATCTGTAGAAAGAGGAGTGACACATTAACAATACATAATAGATATGCCTATTTATACGTCGAATCAATGGACTGCTTAGTTCCACATCTCTTCTAGCACAAGGAAACTCCTATTCCATCTGATTTTTTTAAATATATTATACCCATTAGTTTTGTTCTTTTTACTAAAAATAATGGAACTTGTGTGCATATTTTGACAAATAATATGGTTGTAAATGTGTGATTTTTGTGTAATGGAATGGACACTACATCAGTAACAGGGAGATAAACAAAAACTGACAGTGTTAAATATTGACCAAACCACACACTAGAAGTGAAGAGGTGACGACGTTTCGGTACGTCCTGGACCATTAAGTCGATTGTCAAGCTTATCGACTTGATAATGGTCCAGGAAGGACCGAAATGTCGTCGTCTCTTCACTTTCTAGTTTGCGGTTTGGTCAACTTTTTCAGCCACGTTACTGTGACTCCTCATCTGCAGTGTTAAATACAAGTGGTAATTAACCCATCTTCCATACAAATGGGTATTTGTCTTGAATACATATGGTTGAGTATACATTTCGTGACTGTCCTCTTATAACTGAGTCATGTCTAGTTACCCTAATATTATCACCACTTACTTTTCAGTGGAATACAAGAAAGTAGTGGGAATGGAAATTCCCCACAGGCAACTAAATCACGGAACACTTGCCAGTTTCCTGCAATCTGTTAATGATGTAAGTGATTACTGTATTTCATTTAATAATTTATTATAATTTATAGCTAGGGTTAGGTCGCTAGTTCTTTGCCATGTAAGCTTCCTTTTTGTAAGTGAAATGAGAGGTATAATGTTTCAACAAACATTTCACTTCACTTGTGTGTTTCACTTTTGTTCAACAATAATAGTTAATTGCATTTAGGAGTTAGAGTAAATTTGTCTATTTGCAAAGATATTTCTACCAGTGGTATCCACTAGCTTTGCATTCCTCCGTTACCAAGTATTGGCAGTTTTGCCCTTGTCACATTTACAATTGTTTCTGTCTTCTGTTTGATTCTATGACTGGCTGATATTCTTGTCACTCTTCATCCTAGTTCATTTCCTGGAAGCTTTGTTATAACTGCCACTACTATTTTCAACATTTTGTTATTGTACCTATAATATGATCTTATTTTCTCAATGGTTTTTTCCTTATTACCATCTTCCCATTATTCCTCTTACCTTCATGCTTGGTAATTTCCTGAGAAGACCATAGTTGCTATGTTCATTGTCAGTTTACCAGGTGCCACTTGTAATTAATCGTGTACGATAGATATTGGTGCTTATCTACTTGGGCGCCTGACAGCTAAGTAGACAGCGCTTCGGATTCGTAGTCCTGAGGTTCCGGGTTCGATCCCTGGTGGAGGCGGAGACAAATGGGCTAAAAGGTTTCTTTCACTCTGATGCCCCTTTTACCTAGCAGTAAATAGGTACCTGGGATTTAGACAGTTGCTACAGGCTGCTTCCTGGGGGTGGAGACCTGGTCGAGGACCGGGCCGCAGGGATGCTAAGCCCCGAAATCATCTGAAGATAACCTCAAGATTATCATTTTTCTCTCCTGCCTGTGAAAAGGTTGTTATAGTGTTGGGGGTAACGTGCCCTTAGTACTGTCCTTGTCCAAGTGCTATATAATCATCCTTGCTTAATGCTTTCTTCTCATAGTTACCATGTCTTGCCTTTAGTAAGATTAAGCTCAGACTCCATCATTAGTATATTGTCTTCTTAGGATTTCAATATGGCATGTTCCTAAATTTCTAGTTAATGATGCTATCACTATGAACTGGAAGAAGAGGACAGTAGCCTAATTTGGGGATAAAACTCTTCTTTTTCTATCATGACCATCTGTTTTTTTTTCAGATTTTCTCTATACATCTAAGTCTCTTGTTATTCATTTGAATCAAGTTACATAATTATTAATATTTCTCTGTATTGAAGTACAGTACTGTATTGTATATTGTATACCATTGGAAGACTAAGTATTTGGTGGCTACTGTGTCTGTAAAGAAGATTCCTGCTTAACCAAAAGTTTAATTTATAAATACAATATATTGATTTATGCTAAAAAGTTAAATACATTACATTATGATGTAATAATCATTCTTAACATTGAACAGGTTATGAAGGTAATAAATCGAGGAGGTGAGCTGTATGTGAAGATGCTGAGAGATGACCGTATGCTAAACCTCCAAACAATGATTAGAGAGCAAAAAAGAGAAAAGAGAGGACATGCAAATCATAAGGTGTGTTTCTCATTTGTTAAATATTTGGCTAGGTCAAGTTTACAGGATAATGTATCGTTTTTTTTCTATTCTGTAATGGTACTGTACTGGGTAAACTTTGGATACCTCTTGCAGAAACATTTCAGAGTAGTTAATGAAACTGTATGTTTACAGAGCACTTTAAAAAATGCAGATCGTGTCACTGCAGACCCGATCAGGATTTCCGAAAAATTGTGTTAGTTTGGGTTATCTGAGCAGAGTAAAAAATCATCCATGCTCTTCTGAACTTGGTATAATAGTGATTAACACAGCTCATCTTCTCATTTTTGTAGTACTTATGGTCCTCAGCATTACTATATTACAGCATACTGTATATATACTGACGTACAACAAAATTAGAAAGTAGAAATCGACGCTATTGAGTTGGACAAACTGGAAAACTATTTTCTACTTTGCAAAGACAAGCTAACCCAGCCTAACCTTCCTAGGCCTAATACACGATATCTGAGGCCTAATATAGTACGTGTGTGCTATACTAGTCATAGTTGCATTTCCAGCTTCCACTTATGCCCAGTCCTACCTTCCCTAAATTTAAAGAGGCTGTATTTGCCAACCTTGTTTATTTTCCTCAGTATCTTATATGTAGTAATCATATCCCCTTTGTTCCTTCACTAGTGTCGAGATGTAGTTCTTGCGACTTATTTTTTTCTGTATTTGAAAGTCTGGTTTGTAACTAAACAATTTACTTCAAAAACATTTCCATAGGGGAAAGAAAGAATCAAATGGGAAATTGTAAAAACAGAAAAACAAATATAATCCCAACCTAATCTAACCTATGGCTAGGTAAAGTTATGATTCAGTTAGATTAGGTAAGTGCTTTATTAGCCTAAGTTAGGCTTTTAGATTGTTTTAATATTGCTTTTGTACTAAATTGTTTTGTTGCAAGAGATACTTTTGAATATCATTCGGGAAGCCTCAGAGGCTCGCCCAGAAAATTGCGTTTCAATACATTCAATGCCATTTTATTTTTGTTACCTCTTAATTGCAGCCAGCACGGCAACCAAGAGTTCCTTCTGCATGGACACCAGCACCACCTCGGTCAAATGCATATAGAGTTAGCTCGGGACAACGACTTTCAAGGCATGGCAAAGGACGTAATGATGTGGCCCCTAAACCAAAAGCAAGTGTTTTCAGTAGACTAGAATTTCCTGCTGCAAACAAAACTGTTGCTCCACCTGTTAATAATAAAGCTGTCAAAGAAATTCCTGCTTCAAAATTTTCTAATGTTCCTCCACAACCAGAAGCAACTGAAGATGAACAAAAGGGAAAGTATTATGATGATGGAAACTGGATAAGGCCGTGTGCTGGCCGTGGTAACCAAGAGAAACGGTTTGCTCCACACTATGAGGTAAAGGGAAAAATGTATGTTGTAAGATTGAATTGTGTATGGCAACTATGTAATGTGTATTGCTATTGGGATGTGGCGACCACCACCCAGGTCCCAGAAAGTAAAGGTAAGTTTGTATGGCTGTGTGGAATATAAGAGGTATAATTTGAGGAACAGAAGGAGCTGGAAGTGATGAAAGTCTCTTATGTACAAGTTTGATGTGCTTAGTTTATACTAAACAAAGAGAAATGAAATGATGCAGTTGAAAAGACAAATATTTTAGGTCTGGAAGTTTTCTTGGCTCTCATCATAGCAGTCAATGGGTAAAATAGTTTAACAAATCTTTTATTATCGAACACTTTTTGGGGAATGCATCTTAGTTAATTGAAGTTCACTTGTATATGAGAATACCTTTGCATGATTCCTTTATTCTTAAATGATGGAGGGAGGGAGGTAGCATCTGCTGACTGTGTGGCTACCTTTTGTTTGGACTCACTATACCAGCTTAGTGGTTCACTATGGTGAATACAAGTGTAGATATGTACAGTATATATAACGTGCGTATTAGTGTAATAACAGCAAATGGAGTATGTTAGGAGGAGCCATTTTGGTGAGGGAGGTGGTGTCGTCTGCTCTCTGGAGTGTGACTTATCATGCAGTGTATGGTGGCCACTATGCTGTTTGGACACCATACCAGCTTTAGTTGTACAGTTATGGTGAATGAAACGTGTAGATACTTGTATATAATGTGTGTATATAGTGTAAAAACAGCACACACATAGTATAGAGGGAGTAGGAATGTTCGCGAGTGAGGGAGGGAGCGTCAGCTGACTGCATGACAACCTCAATTATTGTCCTGATTCACCATACCAGTTTAGTTGTTCAGTTGGTTCACACATTTTTTTTTCTGACGCCTGCTCTGTCAATGCCTCAATTTTGCCAGACTTCCCCACCCTATTGTGGCGAAAATGTCACCTACAATTTTTTTTATTAGTTTTCCTGTGATCACAAATGAACACTTTTACAAGACAATTTTTTTTTTATATTTATATTATTTCTTGCGCTTGGTGGTGTTGAAGGTTATTAATAGCGGAGTAGCACAAGGGTTAATGACAGCGTGAGGTCTCACTACAAACCATTGTTCAAATGTAGGCAAAAACAATTGTCTTTAGACAGATTCATTGTGAGACAAGCAAGCAGCGAGCCGCAACTAGGTCCTAATGGTATGCCTACAAAAGGTAGGGAAGGAAGCACTTCAGTAATGTCATCACTCACGTTATAATGAATGGGGACTCCCCTTACAAACACTGACACCTTCCCTCCTCCTTCCCCCCCCCCTTCTTCCATACCCCAAGAAGAGTACTCAATAAAGGTAAAGTGCAGTTAAATGTTCATTTATTTTATTTAGTTAACATTTATTCCTTGTTTTGTGTATGGAAAAATTAGTATTCTAGATGAATTGTTTAATATTTTTGGATGTAGAATGGATTAGTTCAATTTACATTATTTATTGTGGGGAAATTCAATTGGGTGTACAAATATTTGGGTTATGTTACATTGCTATGGATTAAATTCGTACACCGAGGTTCCACTGTATTAAATTTTGTTAAAAATATTTTTTCCATGTATGTATTCTATATTTTTATCATACTGTACTGTATTTGGAAAAAAGGAACTTTTACTTTAGCTTTATTTTGTTCTTTTGAATTGCACACTAGTGTTTAAGATTTTTTGTTATGATGTAAAGTATATTAATTATGTAAACAATTTTGTTTACTACAGGTACCACCACGATTCAACAATAATTGCAAGACTGCAGATGGTAAACCTAGTGAAAAGTCGTTTAAGAAACGATTGGAGGAGGAAGTGCTAAAATTAAATCAAAATGATGTTCCTATCTTCTGCACGGTTCCAATGGGTCGAAAGCCTTCCTGGTTGTCAACTCTGACGGTAAGTTGCAAGTTTCTTAGTTTTCCCTAGACTAACAATTTTAGTATTTTACTAACACTTGCCAGGTTTATGGAATGGTTTATGTATATTTGTTTAAATTTAAACAATCAATTGTAGGTAAAAATATCTTTTAATATTCATTCAAATGTTTTCATGATCATTTCCATCAGTGCCTTGTGTATGCATTATTAGATTGGCATACCTGCACCAGGTACCCCTAGAGAGGGAACTTTCTGAGTACAGGACTTTTTCCTTGCCCTGTCTCAGATGCAGGGGAACACAGTGATCTAAGCAACATGCTGAAATTAATCAAAGCAGGCTACAAGATGGGACTTCCCTCCCCCCCCTTCCCTCATACCATAAAAATAGTCTTTGTTAGACCAGTCTTTTAAAGTACAAGAAGAAAATTTAGAATGTCTGATTTACCACTCAACTCGTACCAGTTTGGGGGGAAACTTCACTAGCCGACGTGTAGCTCCCTACACTACTCCACTACTCAAAGATGAAATGAAATATCCAAAAGTAGCGAGAATGGTAGTGTATAGAGCATGAGCTGAAGGTGGTGAAAGCAACCACCAGTTGTATTTTTAATAGTAAACATAGCATGAGAGTTTTGGATTGCTGGAGAAAGTGGGGTGTGTGTGCAATTAATAGCTAAGGCAGGGTACTAATGCAGGATCTAAATCTCTAGAGGCACAAATAGGTAAGCACATCACCACAACACTGCATTAGGGTGATTTAAAAATGGCTAGATTGGTCAGTCTGTGTGCTTGATAGGTCGGAAACGGTATGTCATAGAATCACGGAATATAGTACAGTATTTAAATTATCATCAAAGCTATCCCAGTCCAGTAGTTTGTTTTATAGATTTATGATATCTGCATTTTTATGAAGATGTACTTTTAGAACTTATCCCCAGAATTTTCTGCCAGGTCATTTCAGTGATATATTTCCTCATCACTATCAGATCTGGGCATATACTTTGTCGTGTATTTGGTGAGCGTCTCGAGTGTGTTTACAGAAAAATGTCATAATATTATCAGTGGTATTTTGTTTAGGTCCAAATTGTTCTTAGTAACTCCGGTATATTTCTCCAGATTGGCAAGTTAAAACTAAGCAGCTACCCAAATGAGTTTGAGAAACGTGAGCAGGCCGAAGAATATATGGCGAAGATTGCATTACCACAAATTCAGAAGCTAGTTAGACAAAAGCTTCCTGTTACTACAGATCTGGCATTGTCTATGTCAAGGATCAAGTCGGTATGTATTCTATGTGGTAGTTAACTGCATTTAAATTAAAGGATAAAAAATTGTTTCATGCCATTGTGTATTATACATATATGCTAACATACACTTGAAACAATCCAGTAACTGCAGTTGTTATATTACCAGTTATGTTCCATATAAATCTATATCCCTCTTCCAAAATCAGTATTTGCCATGGTCTTTCATTCAAACTCTTCTGGAACAAGTACTTCAATGATGAATTTTGTTCAAACCACAACGCTGTAAACGCATCACCCATGTACTACAGATACAAATAATCGCCAACAGAACCTAAACACTTAACCTAACAAATGCCTTAATATGCACTATATGCTAACATATAATAAAATAATTTTATATTTGAGAAAATTCCTGTTTTGAATAAACAGCATGTTAAAATTGTTGAATGCATCTTTGGGGTCGACCGCTGGATGGGAATGGATTTGGGGTGTGAAGATGGGTTGCACTGTGGAAGGGTTGGCCAATTGTGCCCCTTACATGTAGTGGAAGCGTGTAGAACAGTCTCAGGCCTCTGATGATGTTAGTTTTCTCTATTGCACATCTGCCTTTCAACGAGAGTATTCTGCACATCCTGCCTATGTCTTCTGGTTTCGTGTGATGTTATTTCTGTGTGCAGATTTGGGACTAGCCCCTCTTAATATTTTCCACTTATAAATTATTATCTATCTTTCTCCCACCTGTGCTCTAGAGAATACAAATTTAGGCATTTTAGTCAGTGCCAATAGTTCAGATGGTTTACCGAGCGAATTCTAGTAGTGTATCTGTTTAACTCTCCAGGTCAGCAATTTCACTAGCTTTGGAAGGGGCTGTCATTGTGCAACAGTATTCCACTCTAGAGAGCACTAGCATCTCAAAGTATCATCATTGGTATAGCATCTCTTGTTTTGAAAGATTCTTGTTATCCAACCTGTCATTTTTCTTACAGTTGTGACAGCTACTTTATGTTGATGCTGTGATTCCATGTATTTTGTGATCTTACTACTCATCATAAAAATCTTTGAAAGAATGCTGTGTGATGTTAATGCTATTGATCTGTAATTTTTTGCCTCTGCCTTATTCCCTCCTTTATGGAATGGTGCTCTGCTGTTTACAGTATATCAGGGATAATGCCAGTATCTAGGCTCTGCCCCCAAAGAATGTTAAGGGCCTGAGATAGTGGTATTTTACAATTGATGAATATGGATTTCCAAGAATTTGGGCCTGGTGCAGAGTGCATAGGCATTCTGTCCATGGCATCTTCAAAATCCAGTGGGGAGGGGGGGTGGGGGGTGAAATAGGTGACATCTGATATATGATTTGATGTTGGTATGAAATCCATGAATTCATTTCGGTTGTTGTTCCTCAGTGTGTTTAATGGTTCACTGAAACAGTTGTACCGACTCCTCAGTATTTCGCTCATTTCTTTGTTGTCATCTGTGAAAGTTCCATCTCCCTTGCACAGGAGCCCAATACTAGATGTAGTCTTTGGTCTTGATTTTGCATAGAAGAAAAAATATTTGATTTCTCTCTATTTCACTGATGGCCTTTTGCTATCTTTGTGTCTCCTGGATTTTGTATGATTCTTGTAGGTTTAGTTGAATCTCTTCTATTTCTCTACCTAACCTTCTTTGTCCTTCTTGAGATAGGGAAGTTTTCCACTTTTCACCTGTGGAAGAAGAACTTCCACTCTTCATGTTGTTCTGCAATTTTTCTTCGCCTATGGAAGGAATGCCGTTCCCATTCCAATCTGCACATCTTCCTTTCTTTTCTTAAGGTTATGTGGTTTGAGCATATTTCTAGTGCTACTGAGGTTATTTTTTCCAGGTACTGGTTCCAACCAGGTAATATCCAACCAGGATATCAACAAGGTATCAACGAGGTTTAGGTTTGCATTTTCTAGTTGTTCTTCCCAGCTTATTTCTGTCAGGTCTTTGTTTATTTTGCTCCCAGTTAATCTGTTTTATTATTAAAATTAAATTTGCTGAATTCTCCTCCACTGGGATTTGGGACTGGCTGTGCAGGTTGACTGTCAATGCTTATCAGAACTTCAATTAAGTTGTGACCTGAGTAACAGGTATTTGTAATTATTGTTCCTTATCAATTCATTGTTATTTGTGAAGATGAGGTCAAGTATGTTCTCTTTCCTAGTGGGCTCTTCTATTTGCTGGTTTAAGGTAAACATGTCTCGCATCTACAGTAGATAATTTGTGTGTGATGGTTCTTTTAGGGTAGTTCCTGGATTTGTCTCTTGATATAACTATTAGCTAGTCTCCATTTGGGGTGCCGTCGGTTGAAGTTCCCAAGCCGAATGATGTTTGGGGATGGATTTGTGAGGTTTTCTAAGCCGTGTTTTATTTTCATTAGTTGGTCTTTAAACTGCTGCTGCTATGTAAATAATTTGACCCATCTAACTGTTTAGATAGTACCTTTTGTAACTGTGGCCCATCATACATATATTAACGTAATGGACAATTAAATAGTAGAATTTGGTGCTATTCATTTTATAGAATCTGAAAAAATAAAGCTAATATCCAAATTTAATATTCCTAGGCCTAATATAGCACATATATGTATTGTACATACATGCTTGAGATAGCATGTATTGTCTAGGATGGGTTAGGTTGAGTTTTATTAGCAATATAAATATAAAACCTTTCCAGTTTGTCCAAATTCACTATTAGCAGATTTTCAAATTGCCCGTTACTTCAATATATGTACAATGGTCCACATTGTTAATATAAGTACTATCTGACGAGAAGGTTGGGCTGAAATAATTGGTAAATAACGTACATCCAGATCCTTATACATAGAGGGTTTCAATGCTTTTGTCACGTCTCTTTCAAACATTGTTCTCCATTTCCAAAAACTGTGAGATTTTAAACTAGGTTAGGATTCCCTAGGTTGACTTACTTGGTATTATGTACTGTAATACATTAAATTCCTATTAATAATGTTTATTTTAAAGGAACATTCTTGTTTCTTATTTCAAGTGTGAACAAACTAGATACACATCATTAGAGAAGGCAGAATTAATTTTGTATTTTGTGATAAAAGTACAGTGTAATACATAAAATTCTTGAGTACATGTACTATTAGTTTTAGTTATGATAATCTATGTATTGGAAACATTTGTAGCCTTACCTTGAGGTTACCTTGAGGTGCTTCCGGGGCTTAGCGTCCCCGCGGCCCGGTCGTCGACCAGGCCTCCTGGTTGCTGGACTGATCAACCAGGCTGTTGGACGCGGCTGCTCGCAGCCTGACGTATGAGTCACAGCCTGGTTGATCAGGTATCCTTTGGAGGTGCTTATCCAGTTCTCTCTTGAACACTGTGAGGGGATTGCCAGTTATGCCCCTTATGTGTAGCGGAAGTGTGTTGAACAGTCTCGGGCCTCTGATGTTGATAGAGTTCTCTCTCAGAGTACCTGTTGCACCTCCGCTTTTCAACGGGGGTATTCTGCACATCCTGCCATGTCTTCTGGTCTCATGTGATGTTATTTCTGTGTGCAGGTTTGGGACCAGCCCCTCTAATATTTTCCACGTGTAAATTATTATGTATCTCCCCCGCCTGCGCTCAAGGGAGTACAGATTTAGGCTCTTTAGTCGGTCCCAATAGTTTAGGTGTTTTACTGAGTGGATTCTAGTAGTAAAGGATCTCTGCACGCTCTCCAGGTCAGCAATTTCTCCAGCTTTGAAAGGGGCTGTCATTGTGCAGCAGTACTCCACTCTAGAGAGCACAAGCGTTTTGAAAAATGTCATCATCAGTATAGCATCTCTAGTGTGAAAAGTTCTTGTTATCTAACCTGTCATTTTTCTTGCAGTTGTGACGGATACTTTATTGTGTTCTTTAAAGGTAAGGTCTTCCGACATGAGTACACCCAGATCCTTTACATTGCCTTTACGTTCTATGTTATGATTTGCCTGAGTTTTGTACGTGGTTTCCGTTTTTTATATTTTCATTTTTTCCATAGCGCATGAGCTGGAACTTATCTTCGTTAAACACCATATTATTTTCTGTATCCCATAGAAAGACTTGATCTACATCTGACTGGAGGTTTGCCGTGTCCTCTATGTTGCCTACTCTCATGAAGATCCTAGTGTCATCTGCAAAGGATGATACAGTGCTATAGGTTGTGTTCTTGTCTATGTCCGATATGAGGATGAGAAAAAGTACTGGAGCAAGCACAGTACCCTGGGGGACTGAGCTCTTCACGGTTGATGGGCTGGATTTTATTTTGTTGACTATTACACATTGGGTTCTGTTGGTCAGGAAATTGTAAATCAATCTGCCTATTTTTCCGGTAATTCCTTTTGAACGCATTTTATGTGCAATAACACCATGGTCACATTTATCAAAAGCTTTTGCGAAATCTGTGTAAATTACATCAGCGTTTTGTTTGTCTTCCATAGAATCTAATGCCATATCATAGTGGTCCAGCAACTGCGACAGGCAAGAACGCCCTGTTCTGAAACCATGTTGTCCGGGGTTATGGAGATGCTGTGATTCCATGTATTTTGTGATCTTACTTCTTAGCACTCTCAAAAATTTTTATAATGTGCGATGTTAGTGCTATCGGTCTGTAATTTTTTGCCTCTGCCTTATTTCTTCCTTTATGAAGTGGTGCTATCTCTGCTGTTTTTAGTATATCAGGAATAACGCCAATATCTAGGCTTTGTCTCCACAGAATGTGGAGGGCCTGCGATAATGGTTTTTTACAGTTCTTTATGAATATGGAGTTCCAAGAATCCGGGCCTGGTGCAGAGTGCATAGGCATACTGTTTATGGCTTCTTCAAAATCCAGTGGGGATAGGGTGACATCTGATATATGATTTGATGTTGGTATCATATCCATGAAAAATTCATTTGGATTATCAATCTTTAGTGCATTTAATGGCTCACTGAAAACAGAGTCGTACTGCTTCCTCAGTAGCTCGCTCATTTCTTTATCATCGGTGAAAGTTCCATCTCCCTTTCGCAGGGGCCCGATACTAGATGTGGTTTTTGATCTTGATTTTGCATAGGAGAAAAAATATTTTGGATTTCTCTCTATTTCACTGATGGCCTTATCCTCTCTTTGCCTCTTCTGGGTTTTGTATGATTCTTGTAGCTTGCTTTCAATTATTTCTATTTCTTTACCTAACCTTCTTCGCCGTTCTTGAGATAGGGTGCGACTCTCAAGTTGTTCCGCGATTCGTTTTCTTCGCCTATATAGGGAACGACGTTCCCATTCCAATCTGCATCTCTTCCTCTATTTTCTTAGGGGTATGCGGTTTGAACATATTTCTAGTGCTACTGAGCTTATTTTTTCCAGGCACTGGTTCAGGTTTGCATTTTCTAGCTGTTCTTCCCAGTTTATTTCTGTGAAGTCCTGGTTTATTTGCTCCCAGTTTATCTGTTTATTATTGAAATTGAATTTGCTGAAATTTCCTCCACCGGGAATCTGGACTGGTTTTGAAGGTCTACTCCCCATGGTTGTCATAACTTCAATTAAGTTGTGATCTGAGTAACAGGTATTTGTAATCATTATGTTCCTGATCAATTCATCATTATTAGTGAAAATGAGGTCCAGCGTGTTCTCCTTCCTAGTTGGTTCTACTATTTGCTGGTTTAAGGCAAACCTGTCACACATCCGTAGCAGGTCATTTGCATGTGCCTGTTCATTTAGGCTACTTCCTGGTATTCTTTCAGATATTACTGTATTAGCCAGGTGCTTCCATTTCAGGTGCTGTAGGTTGAAGTCCCCCAGCAGGATGATGATCGGAGCTGGATTTGTGAGGTTTTCCAAGCAGTGTTCTATTTTTATTAGTTGGTCTTTAAACTGCTGAGGGTTTGCCTCCGGTGACTTATATACAAGGACAATAACTACATTTAGAATTTCTATTTTGATTATCAGCACTTCCACCATATCATTTGAGGTGTTTAGCAGCTCAGTACAAATGAGTGTGTCTTTGATGTAGAGGCTGACCCCACCCTGAAGCCGGTGTTTCCTATCACATCTGAAAAGATTGTACTCTGAGATCCATATAGCCTGGTTTTAAGTTACATTAGTAATTTTTGTATAATATTCAATTGAAGTCAAAATTTGTATATTATACATATTTACCTAAAACATAATTTTTTTGTATATATGTAAAGAATTCCCTTAGTAGAAATTTAATAAAAAAAAAATTCAGAAAAATAAATAAAAATTCCTTTGGCAGTTAAGCTTATTGGTTACGTTGATGATATTCTGTCTTGGAAACCTTTATACCTGGATCATACCCGGAGTGGATTTGGGAGTTTTTACCACCCCCTCAACAGTAGATGGGAGGAGTAGGGTTTGTGTTACTACTGTAGACCTGATGGGAAGAGTAAGGTTTGTGTTACTACTGTAGACCTGATGGGAAGAGTAAGGTTTGTGTTACTACTGTAGACCTGATGGGAAGATTAAGGTTTGTGTTACTACTGTAGACCTGATGGGAAGAGTAAGGTTTGTGTTACTACTGTAGACCTGATGGGAAGATTAAGGTTTGTGTTACTACTGTAGACCTGATGGGAAGATTAAGGTTTGTGTTACTACTGTAGACCTGATGGGAAGATTAAGGTTTGTGTTACTACTGTAGACCTGATGGGAAGAGTAAGGTTTGTGTTACTACTGTAGACCTGATGGGAAGAGTAAGGTTTGTGTTACTACTGTAGACCTGATGGGAAGAGTAAGGTTTGTGTTACTACTGTAGACCTGATGGGAAGAGTAAGGTTTGTGTTACTACTGTAGACCTGATGGGAAGAGTAAGGTTTGTGTTACTACTGTAGAAGTGTAATTAAAATAAGGAAAAGTAGAAAGTATTTACTTAATACTATACTGTCAGAACAGTTTATAATAGTACAGTATCTTACTTGTGAGAAATGCTGTGCAAAGGGGACTGGATGCAGTACTGTAATCTTTTTGACTGTGATTAGAACATTTCTAGATAATATATTAAAAGTATTTGTTTGATCAGCTACTGAGGAAAGAAAACATGTGGTGGGATCATGTACAAACTCTCTATCAAGACAAACACCAGGAGGCCTTACCTGATGATTGGCTTGAAAAGATTCAGGCTGAGAGACATAGTGGCATTCTTATTGACATCCTCTGCAAAGGCCGGTATGCACTCAGGCTGAAGGAACAGGTAAGTTGTATTATATCCTAATTCTTCTATATTTGTTTTATGCATGCTCATTTACATTGTCATTATTTTAGCATTCAAATGAATGCAGCCATGACAAATAATAAAGATTCTAGCAGTGGCGATCTAGTTAAGTAAAAGCTGATTTAACCCCTGTACTGTGCACCTGTTTTTGGCAAACAATTTCATGGTGCAGTTGTTAAGGACATATTTTTGTTGTTTTTATACATGCTCAACTAATGTTTAATGTCAATGTTTCTAAACTCAACCATTTTCATTTCAAATCACAAAGTGATAAACATTAAAAAAACATTAAAATATGGATTAATTATATAAAAAAATCGTGCAACCCTCAATGCGCCTTAAGGCACTCTTGAGGGTTGTGGTTAAATGGTGCACAGTTAAGTGGTTAAGCAAAGTAAAAATCAGCTCAGTGGGGGATTTGAATTGCAAAGAAGTTTACTAGAATTAACACTTTGGCGTGCCCCGCGCACCACCCCTCAACTGTGCGATTTGGGTCCCAGCGTTTCACAGGAGCGTGCGTTAATTCTGAAAAGTGTATACTCTCTTCAACTTTGTCACCTTAATTCTCGTCCTATGAGATTAAATTTAGTATCATTGTGTTCGCAATAGAATTCTCTACAGCACTAAATGCATATAAACTCCAAAAGCCCGGGTAATTACCCGCAGCAAACAGAGAAAGTGCGAACGAGTTACCCAGGAGCGCGCAAAAGCGATAAAATGTTTTCACTCTTTTCTCTCTGGTCACCTCAATTTTCGTCCTAGGTCTTTCATTTTGGTATCAATGGGTTTGCAATAGAATTCTCTAGAGGAACATTAGCATATAAAATAAAAAACCTGGTCACGCTCCACCCGCCAACGAGTTGAAGACGGGCCACGCGTTAACCGCGAGTGAGCGCCCAGACGCCTTCCAGCTACACTCCCAATTCCTGCCCACAAATGTTTAGTATTTAGTATTTTAGTATATGTAGTATTATAGTTGAGTATTTTTTGTGTAGTAGTTGTACATCACATAAGCATTGTAGATAGCCATTTGCACAAAATAGATGGTCATTTTCTTCATCCATTTGTGAGTTTTCCTTATGAAGTGATAATATTTGATCATTTGGTCAAAGTGATCAACACCTTTCATGTTTGTATTGTAGTCACAGATTGCATTCGGTTTGTTGACAGTTTTCAAACAGTCCCCAAAAAATCAGATAAAAACCTGATTTTTGGCAATTATTTTAGTGGATGACGCAATGCTGCGTCATCCCCGTGATTACCGACAGTAAATGGATGACGCAATGCTGCGTCATGCCCGGGCGAAAGTGCTAATAGTTTAAGGTTCTGAGTTTGATTATTGGTTCACTAATGCATTAGCTTGTAAAACATTCAACCAGTATGTTAAAACCAAATTTTTTTTAACATTTTAATTAGTTTAAAAGTCTGACTACTTTTCATGTAGGTAAAAAGGTAAACTGGACAAACTGGAAAACTATTTTTAACATGTATTGCTCTGACAAACTAAGCTAACCTAACGAACCAATCCACAAGGACCTTGAGTATTCGAACCTACGCACGGGACGTTCCCAGACGCGCCTTAGTCAACTGTACCACCACATGGTCAACAGAATTCTAGCCTGTAATGACTTTGGTTACATTTATTAAACAGTTTACAAGCATAAAAACTTGCCAATCAACTGTTGTTATTGTTATAAACAGTGTCCTGGTGCTTCGGAGCTCATTAACTGTTTAATAATTGAAAACAAAGCCGCCAAAGATTGAGAAAAGATGTACAGGTTCGTAAGTGCTTTCGTGAATCTGGCCCCCTATAGTGCTACTGCCCTCACTAAGATCCCAAAGCTTCTTCGAAGTACAACAGGAGTTATCACACAATTCCCCCGTGCATTCTGGTTCTGTCAACCAAATGTTCTACCTTTATGCCCCTACTTCAATACACTACTTCAGTAGCACTCCAGGTTGCAATTCTTTTGACCATGTGATGGTACAGTTGACTAAGGCACGTCTGGGAACATCCCGTGCGCAAGTTCGAATACTCAAGGTCCTTGTGGATTGGTTCGTTAGGTTAGCTTAGTTTATCAGAGCAATACATGTAAAAAATAGTTTTCCAGTTTGTCCAGCACAATAATTAAAAATTCTTTCTAATTTTGTTGTATGTTGGTATATATACTATGGTCCTCGTCATTACTATAAGTACAAGTACTGTACTACCAAAACAGGAGGCTGGGCTGTGCTGCCTCACTCCCTACTCTATAGTGCAGGTGGCATAACCACAAGCCAGTTTAGCTGGCGGTTACATAGTGCATTATAGCACGGTAGGTAATGACAACCACAAACCACTGTAATATAAAGTAACATAGGAGAATATAATACTGTAATAATAATTCACTGTGTCGGGGGATAGGCAGTTAGTGTGTTCATACACGTTAAGCTTGTATCGTGGTCTCCCCTCCCCTCCAAGGTCGTAAGGTCGAATTACTGAACCTGCCCAGGATGCAACCCCCCACAACTGCTGACTTAACTCCTGAGTACCTACTAGGTGAAAAAGAGCATAAGGTGATACGAAATGTGCTCGACCATTTCTGTGCCTCCGAGATATAATAAGAATATTAAAATATGTACAGGACAAGGGTATGTAACCCTCTGAATTGACACGGAGTTAATGTAGAGCTGAT